GACGAACGGAACGCGGATCGCGCGTATACGCTGGACGCGATAAATCAGAGTTACGATGCCAGAGTTTGGGAAAGGAAGGCAGAAGATGAAAGATCCGGCCAGCTGGACGGAGATGAACGATGAAATTTGTGGACGTACGCGCGGTCGGCACAGGCTGCACACACGCAGACGATGGGCAGGCAGAAGAGGAGGAAAAGGAGAAAAGCAAGAGGCGAAAGAAGAGGCGAAAGAAGAGGAAAGAGTAGACTAGCAGAGGTGGAGGGTTGACCATTTCGGGAGTGTCGGAGGTGGCGGCGCACGGCTGATCGATGCAACAGCAGCGCCGCTACGAGCAGAGGGTAGGAGAGCCGTAGCGTGGTCGGAGGGTAAGCGCAGGGGGTAGCGTTCACCGACGGCAGAGCCTCCCTTCTACCGTGCGTCGGCGGCCTCCTCCGTATCCCTCCGGTTCCCTCCCTCGGACCGTTGCACGCGTACTAACCGAGCAGCGCGCGTTCGGCTTCGTCGTTGGACTCCGTGCATCCCCCTCCAAGCTCTGCCGCTCCTCCACCACCGCGAATTTTCAGATAGGGGTTGCTTCGACGCGACACGATGCGAAGCGATGCGCCCTCTCTCTCTTCCTTCGCCTCCGACCCTGCCTTTCTCCCTCGTACCTTCTCTGCCTCTGTCTCTCTCCTCCCTCCCTCGCGGGCTCAGTTCTCGCCTGAAGACCGTGCGGTGTACAGGTGATCCGGCTCGTGCGTATTCACCCTCTCTACGCTTGAGTTTGTCCGCCCGCTGGTCGGGATGACGTGGTGCCGCGTTGCCACGAGGAGGACGCACGCTCTGTCCTGCCGCGTCGTCGACGAGGTGCGCTTCCTTCTCGCACGCTCTCCTTTTCCTCTACTCCTCCGCAGTTCCTTCGTCCGAGGACACGCGTTCCGGAGTATTCGTCCCGGTCGCGTCGTGTGCTCGTGTCCTCACAGCGAACCTCCGGCCAACGCACAGGTTCCTCTCGCGTTCCACCCTTTCTCCCCGTGCGCCAATCTTTTCGCCAATCTTTTCGCCAATCTTTTCCCCAGTGCCGAGATTCCTGCGTCTTCGATTCTTCGTCCACGATCGGCGTCGTTTCCTCCCTTCGTTCCGGTACTACGACTCGCAGATCCGTGACCACGATCCAGGGATCGTAGATCGAACGTGTCTCTCCCCCCGTGTGTGTACGCCGAGTGACTCGAGGCTGCTCTCCGAGTCTGTCCTCTGTGATGCTCCTTGGTTCGGACCTCGGCTTCCCTTTGATGTCTCTCGATCGGAGAAGCCAGGCGACTATGGGATCCGCTCGAGATTGTGCGCGACGTAATAATTCCTCGGAGATGAGTTTTCGATCACGTGGGCGGATGGTCGGCGACACTGGCCTGCTGCCTGCGAGTATCTCGATGATTGCTACTGTCTTTGATGGTCTCTGGGAAGTATCTCGTTACCGGCGTGGCGTTTTAGTTACCTCGGCGTTCCCTTTTAATCTCGCTGCCCTCAGGAGGATCCTCTTATCGCTCGTGGTAATTAGAAATTCATCGTCAGCGGGACGATAACGGCTCGTCCCGAATTCTTTTCTCCTCGATACTCGGGTGCAGCACACGAGGCAGGTGTGTCGCGTTCGCGTTGGAAACGAATCGCGCGATGGCTCGATCACGTGGTCGCGACGAGTATTTCGACATTCCGCTCGCGTTTATCGTACCGTGGCCGATGATCGACAGACCCGATGATTATCGGGACACGTCCACTGCTTTCCCTCTTGCCGTCCTTCCGAATTAATACGTTAAAGGCGGTTCTTTCCAGAGACGCGCAATTAACGTGATTAATGTTCTCGCGAATTACATATTCGCGTATCCCGGGACGGAATGATTTATCCTTGACGTATATAGCGTGCGGTAAGCACCGGTATTAAGCAGCTAGGAGATTCTCACGGTGCTCGCTAAATAATAGGGAGCGGTAAATTGGTGCGGGCTTGTGGGATCTGGCTGCGGTAGGATCTTCGAGTACACGAGCCTTTCGCTTTTTTCCTCATTTCCCTTATTTTTCCCTTATTTCCCCCATTTCCCCCCTCGCGATACTCGTCCCCCGTCCACGTGTCTCGGAATTGGATTAACCGGGAGAAGCTCGTTCCGATTTAGATCTGTCCCAGTACTTTTCAAACCGGTTCCCTTTGACTCTCGACGGCTGATAGAAGCGTCGATGGATACGGCAAGTTGCGCTGTTCTTTTCCTTCTTTGATTCGGGACTCGAGGAACGATCCGCGGGCGAGAAAAAACAATGGGCCTTACGCGATAACCGATGAAACGTCTGGAAAACGGGAATACCGGTTATACGCGTCAGACGTCAAAAGAACGGCACCATTGTGCTCCATTTCTAAGGCTGACGGAAGCTCGATGATTCGTTCGCCAGCTGGCAAGGCCGGCTCGCCGTCGATGAGCCTGTTTTCAGTCGAACACGTGAATTAGCTATCCTCCGCTGAACGAACGATCGACGCTTTTCAACTTCTTCCACGTTTAACGCGCGTACAGTATCGATCCCGTGGAATCCTCGCGGCAACGAGGCATCGTTCCCTCTGTCGCTGGACCAGTCGCGTCCAGATCGAATTGTTCTCGCGAGAAGACCATTTTCTCGTTAGTGGAACGTGGAGGACGGTCGTGGGACGTTGCGCGTTTGCGGTTGGACCATCTTCGGTTGTATCATAGCGCGGCAGCAGACACACCGCGGTTGGCAACAGGAACGGTGTCATCGAGGTCAGCCACACGCGCCGGGCTCCACCGAAATCGAGGACCTCGGTTAACTCGCGAAGGTCATCGGTTCGTCCGCTCTCTGTTCGGATAAGAACATCTGCCGGGTCGAAAGCGACGCTAAACCCATCGCGTTGCGCGTCCTCGTTATCGCGAGCGTGTCGAAACGCCGCAATCCGATGATCGGTTTGACGCAAGACCGAGCTCGCCAATCGCGTTTAACGGAATATACGAACGCGATATTTTTCCATTCGAACGCGACGCGATGTTTCAGCGACCCGCGCTCGGCTCATAATTAATCCAGCTGGAATAGTCGCGTGAACGGGGCGAGCACAATCGCGGAGCCCGCGTGGAATCTCGCGCGTTTCCATCCAGTGGTTTTCCGCGCGAAAGAGTTTTCGAGATACCCTTGAGCGTGTATCGCCATCGAAGCGGCACGCTATAGAGGAACGATCGAAGAGGCGTAGAGCATTCGGAAGCAGCGATCAGAGACGCGTCGCATTGTCTGGTGCACCGGCAGAAGAGATTAAACCGACAATTGTCTCGAGAATTTCCGGGCAAATGGCACCGCGACAGGAACAACGGCCATCATCGTGGCTGAGTTCGACGCGCGGACGGTTATCGGGCAACGGATAACGATTCGATTGCCGTAACGCGTCGCAGCTGCACGTCCACGATCGTATCGGTACGCCCCGTATTCCCATCCGGTAAATAATTCTTCCCGATCGGTCGTGCATTCTCTTTGACAGAGATCATTTCCCCGGTTTTCGTTTTTCATCGAGACACTTCGTGAATTATTCCTCAGCGAGATAATTGGTCCAGTCGCTGATACGCGACGGCGATGAACCGCGCGACTCGACAACTAGCGCCACCATGGCACGTTAATACCTCGAGGTGCGTCGCCGAGCGTCTACTCTTCTCTGATCGAAATCGGAAGTAGATCCAACGTATCGACGAAATCGTTTCTTCGAATGGTACAAACGACGTCTTCCCGTGATCGAGAGCATCTCCTCTCTCGCAATATTCGTTTCGCGTTAGCGTCCTTTCGGACGCGGTCGCTTCGATCGGCTTTGTTCGTACGGATACAGCCGCCGCCAGCAGGCAACTCGAAATACCGCAGACGCCGCAGAGCCGACGAGACCTTGACGTCCGAAAAGAGCCAATCGGATCAGCATCGACGCCGTCGGGTATTTTCGCGACGGCGTCGAATTAATATCGGAGTGGAGAGAGCTCGACCGCGGAGCGTAATGCTAGCGAGTCGATGCACTTTCGTGCACGATGGCGACGGGCCCCGTGCTTTGTTCCGGGTTTCACGACAGCTCCCGTTGTCGGTGCTGTCGTGGCCGAGGGCAGCCAGTAAATTTTCCACCGGCTGGCAGCTAGCCAGACATTTTTATTACGACCTACGCCTCACGGAACGTTTCCTGGTCTTCGTCGCTAACTAACACCGTTTCCCAGACGCGTATCGTTCCTAGTTTCTTCCCCTGCGTGGCTAGCCACCCCTTATCCCGAGCGCACACGCTCGTTCGTTGGTGCTTTATGCAAACGACCAAACTTTTCGATCGGGTCACTCGCTCTATCCGTCCGTCTATCTGTTGTCTATCTATCCCGTTACATCCTCGCACGGGATTCTCGTAAGCGCGTTTACGCGAAGCTTAGGCGTGTCGGGGCGCGGTGCAACACGTCGAGTACGAGGGATTTGTGGGCCGTTCGTGAGCCTGCAAATCAGCTAGAACGTCTACGTGCAAAGTTTTTATCCGGTACCATCTTCGCGATGGCGCTTCTCCGCGGTTTCTGCACCCTGTACGAGGGTAGGAAACTTTCCTCGAGGTCGTTACACCCGTTTAATCATTTCGCTGCTCATGGCAGGATAACGTTCCTCCATTTAACCAACGTACCCGCTGAAATTCGAGCGGTGTCGCTGCCGCGTCGGAATGTAGGTCGACCGTAGGCGTAGATCAGGCTCGCAGGAATCTTTGGAAAAAACGAAGCTGTCGGAGTGGAGCGATCCCTCGAGGTCGAGCACACGCGCGCGCGCACCTTTCCTTCCCCGCGTCCATTCCGATTCGTTAAACGCCGAAACCACCCTGGCCGTAGACGGGACGGGTGACGATGTAGTGCGTCGAGCGACTGTCGCGACGGTGGGTCCGCGAGCTACGGGTTCCCGAGAATCGGACGAGGATGTCGACGTTGGAGACACGTGGCCTGGACTGGTGAACGTGCCGAACGACGAGAAGCAGAGGACCGAGCTCGATCGTGGACGTGCGAGTTGCAGTGCGTTCGAGCTTGGCGAACGAGGAGAAGAGGAAGAGGAAGTTAAAGAGGAAGAGGGGTGGTCCGCAAGGGCCACGGCCATGGGGGAGGCAGCATGTTCTCCGAGCTGTGCAGGGAGACTTTGCGGAAGGCAGCCGTGTGCTACAGTTCTGGTCGTGCAGGAAGTCCATCACCATCGCCACCAACGTCTCCGCCGCCATCTCCCGCCAAAGAAGCAAAGACTACTGCCAACGTTGACCTGGCAAATGTCCGTGACGCCTGTCACGAAGCCAGAGATTCAGGGACCAGCGGAAAGAGATCGCCGCAGCAATCGACGTCGTCAGGAACGTGTACTACGGAGTTCCGTGACTTCACCGGAAGGAGATCGCCAACAGCCTCAGGCGACTCCAGGGAGTACGTTTACGACCCTCGCGAAACGCTTGCCTATCCGGTATACGATCACACGCCTCGTTGCTTCCGATCTCGGCTCGTTCTCTCTTCTTTATTTTCCCCGACTTTATCGCTATTATTATCGTTCTTATTACTATCGTCCCGACGCTTTACGACTCGCAGCACACGCGTCGCGGTACCATCTTCGCTGCCGATCATCGCTGCCGATTCGAACAGCGCGTCGGGGTACGAGAAAAAGTATATACGCGATATCGCGGTTTCGCAGAACCGTGGCTACGACGTCGCGTCGGTTGAAATTTCGCGATAAAGCACACACACACACACACACACAGGGTCGTTCTGTGAAGCGACACGCGCGAGTTACCGCGTCGAGATCGAGCCACGCGAGCAAAATCGTGCCGGAAATTCGATCGTTCTCGCGGAGAGACCCGCGGCCTGGCGATTTCCGCGCCCGGCCGATTCGTCAACGATCGAATTGGCAGTTCTCGCGAATGGAAGCGCGTAAACGTATTCCCGTCACGGAATCCTCAGGAAGCGTTCAACGGTGTCCGGCGACTTCGGGAAAAGATTGGGCTGCCCCGAGGCGAGGGACGGGAAGCGCGGCTCGTTTCCGGCAGACGCGAGGGACGGACGATCGGTGTCCCCGGAAAAGGGACGGCAACAGTACGAAGACAACAGGGGATCAAGCGGAGGGTACGAGTATGGCCGACCGGACTCGAGGCTCGGTAGACAGTCCCCAGGGTCTCCGGGATCGTCGCCCGAACCAGAGGACAACTCCTCAACTTCTGGCGACGAAGGTATTGTTCCCGACGTTCGCTTCTCGTTGCTCGCGTGCACGCGGCACCTGGCTCGCGTAGGAAATTTATTTTCCCAGCAGAACCGAGAAATATCGGCGGAAGAAACAGAGCGTCGCGGCAGATTTCTATCTCTCGCGTGTTGTACGCGACGGAAGGAAAATTAGGATTCTCGGCGCGCGTACGCGGGTAAATGGTCTACATGGGGTATTCGTAAAATTCGCGCGGCATAATTGATGGAACCGCTAATAACTTTAAACGGAAACACAGGCAGTTGGGCGGGGAAACTTTCTGTCGTATTCGTCCCCGATACTCCGTAATTAACGGAGGAAATCGAGTTTGCCGGGCAAGCCGGGCTGCCGTGATAGCTCCATCTAGGCAAATTAGCGGCGCAAGGACACGCGAATCGAGTTTCGGAAGTTAGTCCGGAACACATTCGCATTTTTCCGCGTACTTTTTAGCCGAGACACGCTCGTGGCGGATGATAAATATTAGCCAACGTCGGACGGTCTCGCGCGGCAGATCTCGCTGGAAAAATCGAAACACGCGCGAGTGCTTTAGACTTCGTTTACCTTCGTTTACCTTCGCACGCGCGGAGGATCCGCTTTCGCGCCGTCGCGCGGAAACTTGGAATACCGTGCCGCGTCGTGCCGAAGGAAGTAAAAGAATTTTTAGATCTTTTATTTTTATTCCGAGGAATTTCCGCGAGCTCCTCGTCGCGTAATTAACGTTATCGTCTCTGGTCGACGACGTTAAATTCACCGCGTGCCGGATGATTTATCCGTTGGTTATAACTATTTCTGGCAGCCGACACCGATCCAACGATCCCTCGAATTCAAAGGTAGATCACGGACAGTTAAGTCGACTCGGCCCGCCCTTTCTAGCGTCACTCTTGCCGTGAGAAATTCGTTTGCGAGAGTACAGCGCGATTTACCGCGACGCTGAGCGAGCCGGAAGTTCCTTTCGCGCGACGCCTTCTTTGTCAGACTTCCAACGACTTTCCTCCCTTTTATCGAGCTTCCCGTCGGCGACCTCCCTCGCCGCGAAAATTTGTCCCGTCCAGGAAAGTAAAGGCGAAGAATTTCGTTCGACAAAAGTGGCCGAGATACTCTCTGACCGACCGCTGAAAGTGCCTCGAGCACCGAGGTGAATCCATTATCGAATCTCTTTCAGACTCCCTGCAATTTCTCCCATGCGTCCTCTCTCGCGCCGCGTTTCTGCAAATGCCTTTGGCAATTAATTTGCGTCTGTGCACGCGAGCCCCGGAGTCCGGGACGCTCTCTCGCGAGTGTGTCTGTCGGTTTCTCGAGTACGGTCAACTATCCGATAACACGGTACTTCGTAGACGCCCTTCCATGGTCCGGATTCGAGATTCCGTCTGTCACGCAGCGTCGATACGACGCACGGGACGAATTAACCGTGTCACCGAAGAGCCCACCCAAGCGACGAAGACTCTGCGCGCGGTTATTAGAAGAGATTGGCACGAACTGCCTCGCTCCAATTACGTCGTATCAAAGAGTTTGCGAATTCCAATCACAGATGGAATATCTCGACGGACTATCCGTTCGCTCGTTTCCTCTAAATTCTTTTACCTATCGGAATCTAAAACGATTTCTCGCTACTACCCCCGGATGCGTCAGCGCGACTAATCGACTTTCAGCCGTGGCCTCTCCATCGAGAGATGGTTCTCGCCGGTTCGCGAAACAAATCACTCTCGATATGACGTTCCATCGGGTCGAATGAAAGCGGAATTGGGCCGCGTGCGCGAGGATTTTCCCGCGTCATACGATACTTGTTTGGCCCAATTTTTTCGCGGACACTCGGCGAGTTTCGCAGGTCGGTAGCCCCCTGACATACGCGATCTCTCGATACCTGTATTCTCTTCTGACGCAAGTTCCCCTCGTTCGCAGTCAGGCCGTTGGCTCGTCGCGACGATTTCGATCTCTCGACCCGACGTCGCGAACCGGCTTTTAACCCTCTCCGAGGCATCCGAGAGGAATCCCGAGGAACTCCGCGTGGGCAAGCAATTTTTGATCGCACGCCTGGCGTGTGCTCGCGTATCGATTTTGGCTCGTAATCTCGGCGAGGATTATGCGGAAGTGAGCGATACCCGCGTGGTGAGGGAAATCAATAATATCGCGGACGATGTTGCGCCACAAAGGTGCAGGGATAACGCTTCGTAATTGCTGGGCACCGAGACCCAGCGCGATACGCCGACCTCGGATTTAGACGATTGTTTATACGCTTACACGCTCGTAAACGCTTCCCAACGATTATAAACCGATCCCGGCAAACGGTTTTCTAAACTCCTCTTTTGCATTTTGGCCTTTGACACTCTTCTCGCGTGATCTCTGCAGAGCGGACATTTCTTTTGTCGGAAACAAAACGCGTGATGTGGATCTTCGAGATTCGCGAGAATACGCGATTCGATCTTGCGAAGTTGGAGGATAGGTGACAAAATAGGAACGGCATAAAGAATACGGTTTTGAATTTATTAAGGATAAAATATATTTAAAGTATAAACTATTGCTTGAAGGTAGTCTAATTTCGCGATGCTAACGCGATGCTGATATTCCGACACTGACTCCGACGCTTTGAATTCCAACTCCTGTCACGCTCTCTATACTCTTGACAGACTGCTTCGTCTGCGCCCTTGCACCCTTGTTTTTGAACCCACGGTTTCTCTTCTTTCATACACAGGTTTCCTTTTTCGATCACCTATTACAGTCATAGATATGTCGGCCATATGATCCTTCCGCGCTGTCATTTACACTTCCAGACGCACTCCAGGTATTCTGAACGCTCGAACCGAACCCGAGATCGTTGTTTGTTATCCTCTATTTTCGAAGAACAGCTCCGGCCTTCCCCATGCAATCGCTTAGAACTAAGACCACCCGTTCATTCGTTCAGTTTTCGCTCTTAACCCCTCAAAGTACCCTGCAATCTTGTATCTATGCGGAAGCCGTTTTGATCGTTCTTCTGCCTCGACCCGGGCGCGTAATCTTGGAAGGATTACAGCGGATGCATCCCGGATAAGCGCGAGTCCGAATTGGCAGGGATCCGTGACAAAGCGTGTTTCGATGCCGTTGCTTGATTGGCGTAATTGTTCCGAAAGCGAGTAGCGAGCGGACGCGGAGATGGCAGCTGGCCGAGGGAATAGGGTGTCGTTGCACCCTTGGATCTCGCGTGGATACGGCCAGAGAAAGAGACGGAGTGCCATAGCGAGCGTGAGGGCACACAGGAAGTGGGAGAAAGGGGTATAGAAGCCCGTGAATTATGGGCGTTACCAGGTTGGTCGGCCGGGTAATGCGGTCTCGCAATGCGGTACAGCCGTTTCCTACGATTTGCGTCGTTTAACGAACCCGTTTCCGCCCTGCTCTATCGATCGAGGATTCATCGTAATCCGACAACGAGGAAGTATGTTAAAACGCTAATGCACCGCCAGCCTGGCAACGTCCACCGTGAACCTCTCCAAGTTGCGAGATCTTGTTTGCGATCGCGGCGAACCAGCGCCGGACTTAGATCGGCCCCGTCTTTGGAATGCAAATGCGGATTACGCATCCGTTGAATATTTATCGAATATGCGTCGACGTCGCGCGGACAAGTGTCCTTTTTTCATCCTCTTTTTGCTCCCCCTGTCCCTCCTCTTTTCCTCGTTTTTCTCGCTTTTCTCGACAAACGAAACTTGATAAATCGGCGAACGGGGCTCTAAGCGGTGTCAAGAGGATCCGCGACCCGTTGGACAAAGTCTCTCATTTGCGCGGAGCTGTCAACGATGATCGACGGAAAGGCGATTTCGCGATTATCAAGCGTCGTTTCGAAATTAACACATTGCTCATCAGTTTTCTCTTTTTTCACGCACCATCTGTCATGGACCTTTGATGTCCGTACGCTTTCATGACAAAACGTGCGGTCCCTGGTGTATATCTTATAGATTTCTACGCGGTGCTGAATGCGTTTTTACGGATCGTGTCGAGATCGCGGGATAACTTCAGTTAACAATTTCCAGTACCGTTCATGAGTTTTCTTATTTTTCACGCGCCCTCTGTCAGGACCTTAGATGTCAATACGCTGTCATGTCAGAACGTACGGCCCTTGGCGTATGTCTTAGAGGTTTCTATGCGGCATGCAACGCGTTAATGTCCATCGCGGGATAACTTCAATTAACAATTTCCAGTATCGTTCATGAGGTTTCTTATTTTTCACGCGCCCTCTGTCATGGACCTTATATGTCAATACGCTGTCATGTCAAAACGTACGGACCTTGGCGTATGTCTTACAGGTATGTGGCACGCAATGCGTTAATATCCATCGCGGAATAACTTCATTTAACAATTTCCAGTAACGCTCACGAGTTTTCTCATTTTTTACGCGCTCTCTGTCATGAACCTTATATGTCAATACGCTGTCATGTCAAAACGTACGGTCCTTGGCGTGTGTCTTAGAGGTTTCTATGCGGCACGCAACGCGTTAATACCAATCGCGAGATAACTTCAATTAACAATTTCCAGTACTGGTCATGAGTTTTCTTATTTTTCACGCGCTCTCTGTCATAAACCTTATATGTCAATACGCTGTCATGTCAAAACGTACGGTCCTTGGCGTGTCTCTTAGAGATTTCTATGCGGCACGCAACGCGTTAATACTAATCGCGAGATAACTTCAATTAACAATTTCCAGTACCGCTCATGAGTTTTCTTATTTTTCACGCGCCATCTATGACAGATCTTAGATGTCAACGCGCTGTCTTGTCAAAATGTGCCATCCTTGGCGTACGTCTTAGAGGTTTCTCTGCCCTGCGCAGTGTGTTAATACCGATCGCATTGAGATGGCGGGATAACTTCAATTAACAATTTCCAGTACCGCTCACGAGTTTTCTCCATTTTCACGCGTCATCTGTCATGAACCTTAGATGTCAACGCGCTGTCATGTCAAAACGTGCAGTCCCTGGGGTATCTCTTAGAGATTTCTATGCGACACGCAACGCGTTAATGCCGATCACG